TTGTTAGATTTTTAAATAATTTATTTCCATTTTATTGCATGAAATAAGTATTTGATCACCTACCAACCAGCAAGAATTTGGCTCTCACAGACCTGTTAGTTTGTCTTTAAGAAGCCCTCCTATCCTCCACTCATTGCCTGTATTAATTGCACCTGTTTGAACCCGATACCTGTATAAAAGACACCTGTCCACACACTCAATCTATCAGACTCTATGGGCAAGACCAAAGAGCTGTCTAAGGACACTAGGGACAAAATTGTAGACCTGCACAAGGCTGAGATGGGCTACGTGAGAACAGCTTGGTGAGAAGGTAACAACTGTTGGCTCAATTATTAGAAAATGGAAGAAATTCAAGATGACTGTCAATCTCCCTCGGACTGGGGCTCCATGCAAGATCTCACCTCGTGGAGCAAAGTCCCTCTGCTCAAGCCAGCACATGTCCAGGCCCGTCTGAAGTTTGTCAAAGACCATCTGGATGATCCAGAGGAGGCATGGGAGAAGGTCATGTGATCAGATGAGACCAAAATAGAACTTTTTGCTATCAACTCCACTCGCTGTGTTTTGAGGAAAAAGAAGGATGAGTACAATCCCAAGAACACCATCCCAACTGTGAAGCATGGGGGTGGAAACATCATGCTTTGGGGGTGCTTTTCTGCAAAGGGGACAGGACGTCTGCACTGTATTAAGGAGAGGATGAATGAGGCCATTTATTGTGAGATTTTGAGCAACAACCTCCTTCCCTCAGTCAGAGCATTGAAGATGGGTTGTGGCTGGGTCTTCCAACATGACAACGACCAAAGATCTGGAGAAGACCTGTATGGAGGAGTGGGCCAAAATCCCTGCTGCAGTGTGTGCAAACTTGGTCAAGAGCTACAGGAAACGTTTGACCTCTGTAATTGTAAACAAAGGTTTTGGTACCAAATATTAAGTTTTATTTTTCTATTGTATCAAATACTTATTTCATGCAATAAAATGGAAATACATTATTTAAAAATCTAACAATGTGATTTTCTGGAAGTTTTTGTAGATTCTGTCTCTCACAGTTGAGGTGTACCTACGATGAAAATTACAGAACTGTCCATTCTTTGTAAGTGGGAAAACTGGAAAAATCGGCAGTGTATCAAATACTTATTTGCCCCACTGCAAGGCTACCACTCAACTTTTCCTCCAATCCACTCCACTTACTCTAGTTCTTTTGAAGTCATTTCATAACAGAACAATTTTCTCGTTAGAGCTTGGCTTTAATTGTGGGTAATTAAGCGTGCTCCAGCAGTATAGAGAGTGCTGTTCAAAGGACTGGGGGGAAATTAGCCGTAGTTCAGCTGTGAAATATGGGGTTAAGTGGGAGATGGGGAAGGGAGAGGAGAGAGCCGAGGGGGGTCAGTGACTGTAAAACAGGGGGGCATACTGTCTAAAAGGAAAGCCGTTTTGGGTATAGCAAAAGATGGGGAGGGTAGCAGAAAGAAAGTGGGAAATACAAATAGTTCTAGTAACAGACACAATTCAGAGAAGCTCAACAGGGCTGAAGGAGACACTGTGGGCAGGGCAAGAGATTACTGACGAACTGGAAGAAGATGAACAGAGGAATGAGTGGCCACAAGCTCCAAAGCCTACATTTTAAACACACTCAAAAAGGAAATAAAGAACAAGATAAAAGACAACAATGAGGAGAAAGTAATTTTCAGCATCACTTGGATGTCATCATACTGTAATCTGAGTATTTTTTGGATGCTTTAGTGCAACAACAAGTGGGCATGTTCTGTATATGGCATGATGCTGCTCACAGTGCAGGAGGTTTGAATGTAAACTTGGTACTGATAATCTGAAAAGCATTGGGGATCAGTGGGTTCTGCAGGAGGAAGGATGTGTCATCTGAGATGTATATGTATTTTACAGATACAGCATTGTATGTTCCAGCAAATATAAATGTCTTGCATACAAGAAGGATTGCCTGGTCCTTTGGGTCAAGATGTTTGGCAAAATCATGCTTTTTGTCTATAGGACTTAACACGATGAAGATTTCAGGATGACTGTTAATAAATTAAGTAATCAGTAGTGTGCGGGAACTTTTTTTCCCCATATACCAGTAAATAAGATGAATGAATTCCACCCATCACCTCCTTTGAAGCAACAGAGTGTGTGCAAAACCCAGGGGTGGCACTAACTGTCACCAAGTGGATTATGGACTTTACACAGAGTGACCCCTGATTAAATGCAACACTCTGCAGAGCTGTTGCCCTTCACATCCGTTAATGTTTTTATTTGAACCCTAACAGCTATAAATGTTGGAGCGGTCATAAAGCAGAGGAGGAATGATTGGAGCCATTGACTGTACTGTCAAATGCTCAGTGGACGGGGGGACTAACTCCACTGAACCCTTTATGAGTAGTTCATCCCTCAGTGGAACCATCCCCACTGACAATAATGAACCTGTTAAAGCCCCTATAAATATTGGCTCCCATGCTTAGTGATCGTTTGAATAGCTCCGAAATAGAGCACTATTTGCAAACAAGTGGCTGGGTGTTGGAGGTGGTGCGGCTTATGTCTAATCAATGGAGGGATGCTCCCTTGCAGAGGGCCCTCACAGAGCCTTGATTAATACAGAGGTGCAGACATAATGTAGTTTGGAATAAGCACACAACTACTTTATTGATGAACAAATTATCAGTGTCAATAGGAAATGGTCTTCCAGGACTTGAATACTACTATATGGTTATAGGGATGGCCACTCAGGGAAAAACATAACAAGACTGTAGAGAAAGCCAAACATCTTCCTGGCAGCTCCAATGAGGAATTCAGATGTAAAAAAGTAGAGTCACTCTCCCCATGTTGGGTGCCGGTGTTACAGATTAGATGTGAGTTCAGGTTCTTCAAGCCCAGGAAATCCAAACATTCCCCAGTTGACAAAAGGAAGATCCTCCCATGATGAAGGGAGATATGTAGGTTTATGAAGTCTTGAGGAAAGCTACTCTGCTGCATTTCAATTGCTCAAAGGAGAATAACACTGAATGTCTATGCAGACCTTTGTTATTTGTTATCTTTATTAACCAACATAGTCAGTAAAAGACTCTTGTTGGAACAGACATAAAATGAATTTAAAAAAAAAGATGGTTTTCTACATTTAAAGGGAAATATCTCAACAGGCTACAGATCAGTTGCATTGTAAATTATTGACAAGTATTTAATAAATACAATTATTTATACATATGATATTTTTGGCATTTGTCAAATCACTATTGTAAAGAGGTTCATTTGAAACTATTAAAAACAAACAGAAAAAGTAAAACCTACCAAATGAGAGCAACTCAAAACCACAATCCATTCACACATACAACCAGTCATGCAAACTTATTTTTATGTTCAGTCATGTATGCCAGTCTACTATCAAAGACAATTTCGTAGTGAAAAACAATACATGTAGTTATTTTTTATACAATGTGTCAATGGGAAACAGACTCGTCTCTCATCTTAGGTTTAAAGCTTTCAGTACTTTGCACATCATTTGTTCTGATTCTTTGTTTTATTGTATCAAAGCTGTGTTAATCAAATACTGTATGTACTATTTAACAAGAGCAGCGGTGTTGTATTGTCACTGACTGACATTTTTCATCTGTGATTGGACACAAATGACAATCCCCATTTCCTGATATACTTAGAACAGTATAAATTCACACTGAATATTGCAATTTGATCTACAGTGTATGTGAGAAAAACAACTAGAGCTATCTCGGTTTTACAAGTGATGCTTTTGGCCTTGTGCAACATGAACTTGAAATCAATGAAAGGGTCATCCTGACAGTATCCACTGGGGCTTTATGTGAGTAGAGGATTCATGAGTAAGTGAGAATGGGAGAGGCAATTTTAATAACATTCACATCGACTATCAGTGCAGTATTTGTTGTCTTGTCAATATCTGAGAATTTTGGTTTCCTTGATGAAGTGTAAAAGCACCTACATTTTTGGAAATTGTCATAAATAAACTGCAAATTGTGAACTATGTCAGGATGTAAGAAAGCAGACTAATCAAGGGTGTTATCCATATAGTGAAAGAGCCTATCTGACCTTGACCTCTTGGGTGCATCCCCTTATTTTGTAACTGAAAGGAACATAAACTCAACCAAGCATTATATGAGTTTACAAAGTCAGCCTCCCATTTTGTAACAAAGCAACAGCTCCAATGTGTGTATCAGCTGACCATCAAAAATTAGTCTGACTGCTGCACTGCTCTATGTGCTGGGAAGAGACTTCTTCATAATCACAAATACCGAGCACACGACCCGGAAATATGATGAAACTCTCTTTTATCCGACCATCTAGTTAAACTTAATCACATTTGAGATACAGAAATTAAAACGGTAAATGTGATAGATTGTTTCTGCACCACAATACACAAAGGATGCACCACATATGCACATGCTCTTGTGACTACTGATACCAACTTAAAATATTTACTTTTAATAATTAATTGGATGTCCATGTATAACTGAGCAGACTGCAGCTGGCTGTGCTCACAGTACTGTAGTATTAATCCACACTGCCACAGCGAACCTACAAGCCATCAAATAACGGAATGTGCACGCATGCAAACCTGTGTCGTCTTGAGTTGGACAACTTTTCCAAGTAAACATTCTCATTCCCCCAAGTTCGTGCTTCACTCTTAAACTTTTCATCTCACATTTGTCACCAAGCTCTCTCCTTTCCAGTCCCCGAAGCCGCAGTAGGATATAAATCGCAGATGCAACGCACAAACACGTTTTCACTTTAAAGCAGAAAGCTTGTAGGAATTGTTGCCGATCTATTTTTGCAGAGAGACGTTTTGCTAACTGCGCACTGTTCGACAACTCTCCGGCGCACAATCGTACATCAATCAATGTCTGCAGGAGGGGCGCATGTTTCCCTCTCACCATTATGTTTCTCATGAGAATCTTGTTTCTCTCGGACGCGTTTCTCAATTATTCATGCCACTTGTCCATAACAGAACAGGAAAGTAAGATGCTTACCTTCACCGATGCACCTTCATTGACTTGACCAGCAGCTCCCACCTGGGGCGTTGGGAATCCTGTGTGCAGAGGACTGATGGTAATCGGGACAATTTAACAGATAGGACTGCGCATCCTTCCTCTTGCATTAAAGTACACTAGTGAAGAGTTACACTAGCATGATCTCTGAATAGCAATGTGAGTAAATACCGCCCTTAGGGGGGATACAGAAAAAAAAATCAAGATGGCTGAGATGAGGGAAGCAGCGCGCAGGACGAGAGAAAAGTTGTCCTCGGAGCAGCAAAAAGTTCACAGGGGGGGAAATGGACTCCACTGCCACCTGCTATTTTCCGAAACTCGTATGATGTAGTTTGCATGAGCAAAGAGACCAAAGCTTATAAAGGGAAGCAAGGAGGCACAGGCAGGTATGAGGGGAGAGAATGCAAAGGGGAGAGATCCAGGCGCAGGGAGTGATGAGAGCACACTGAGAGGGGGGAGGAAAAAGAGGTGTTGAGTCTGAACCTCCACCTCACATCAACCCGACTGCATTTAAGTTTCCATCAGCCGCATACTGCTCTACATGTGTTCCTGTGGACGTGAGACAGAAAATAGACCTGCACAGTGAAGAGACCGCACAAGGAAAATATATGTAGACGGCTGGTGGCCAGAAAGCGGATCGATCAGGTTATAATTTTGTCCAAAGTCGAGGGAAAATAAAGTTCATGGAGGAATGAAATTTGAAAGCAGATGGCGAATCCCGTCGCTCCTAAATAAGATTCGATCTTTGGGAATGGAGTGTAGATAATATTTGGTTGGACGTTTGATGAAAATGACTGATTTTTCATTTTGGACAGGTGGGGGTAGATGGAGTGCGGGAGAGGGGGGTTGGGGCAGTGTGGAGGTGACAGAGGATGGATATGATGTGTCTAGGGACAGAAACTAAACTTGGGAGAGTGTTTTTGCCCCCTTCAGATTTCATCCAAGGATCTCATCCCCATTCTCCATTTGCCCCCGGTGCGCACATAAGACCC